CGACGCGCCAAGAAGGCATTACACTCCTGATCCACGGCGATGACGGCGGAGGAGATAAGGACGGCACCGCCAAGTCGACCGAGAGAGCCTGGTCTTTTGGAAGGAGAGGTGCTAGCAGCGCCCCGGCGAACAAGGAGCGTGTCTCGGGGCAATTCCGAGCGCTGTCGTGCAGCATGGCGAAGAATTGGTCTGCCGCCAAACAAATCCACTCCATGTCGTCCAATCTGGTGGCCCCGCGAGGCGCGGAATCTTCTGGTTTAGCCTCTCCTATCTATGTAATGAGCACGATATTTGTGTTTGTGATGTGGACTCTGGTCGCGGCTATCCCGTGTCAAGAGAGAACCGGGTTGGGGACTCATTTTCCAGTGCCGAAGCAATTGGGTTGGGCTCAACTCATGATAGGGTTGCAGGAGAAGATAGCAGAAGAGTGGAAGAAGAAGGAGAAGAAAGGGTCGGCGGGACTATTGGAGGAGATGCAGAGGCTCGAGAAGATAGCCAATCCTTGATTGATTTCACCGACTCGTTCCAGTTTCCGGTGGAGGCAGAGCGCCTAGAGGAGGTGAATTCGCAGGTGGAAGAGTTGGCAGATATTTGTAGAAAGATGGAAGAAGGTTTGGTACCTCTACAGCAGCAAATCAGAGAGGTTTTTCATAGGGTTGTGAGGAGCAGATCAGAGTTTCTTGATGTCTTAGACCAAGCTGGGAAGTTATCTGCGCCCACTCTGTAAAGATCAAAGGCAGCTCCTCCTCCTCCTCCTTTACTGTTCACTCTCCGCAGCTTCGGAAGGGTTCCTAACCATAACCTTGAAGGTTTAGGGTTGGTTTCAAAGTTAAGAGGCTACCAGTTATAACTTGCCAATGGGTATAACTACATCCTCGTTAATTAATTGGCCTTTACCTATGTAAGTAGTCATAGGAACTCTTCAAAAAAAATTTGGTATTTTTATTTGGGTGAAGAAAGCATTACATCGTTGCACCCACCGAGTTGTGGGACGGGTAACGTTGTCGCCTATTCTGATATGCACTCTTGTTTCTTTAATCTGGATATATATATATTTTTTTCCCCTTGGTTTGATCACCGCCTGTTTTACACAACCAGATTTGTTAACTTAAGGCTTGGGAGAAATGTATATAGGTGTATATCAAGTTCAAGTCAGTGACTTTGAATGTTAATGTTTTTTCTGATGCGCCTCCATGGCTTCTATCGGATGCATGCCCTGCCCTGCACTCTTATTGATCTGATGCTTGAAGAGACGTTTCATATCCTTCAGTTTAAATATAATCTCGCTCCATTGAGGTTGGCACGATATGTAAATGGATTCGCTAATAACTAACGCACTTGTAAGTTTGATCCATTTTTGCTAAGATTGTGCTATGAATGAACAACATATTCCATCTATACTAATGGGGGTTGGTTTAGTGGAAAGAGTTATTCCTTATAACGTGACGAATCAAAGTTTGAATTCCTGTTTGGAGAAGTATCCACGTTTAGTGTAAGACAATACTTTAAATAAAATTGTTTTCGATAGAGAAAGACATATTCGATATATTCATTCCTCTGCTGAAGCAGAGAACAATGTTGTCATGTGGAAAAAGGGTACTGCGAGGGTGTAGTAGTAGTGGTTGGCACATCAATTCTAGAACTACCAGAAGTATTAAGATGAGCAGCAAAGGAAGAAACTAAAACTTTATTTTAACACCGGGTGAATATGTAGCCTCTTGAGCGAGAGTAAAAGAGGAGCATAGAAGGAAGGGACGCCTAGCATGCTTATCCATGATGTCGGACTTCTTCGTCTTCAGCATATTCTGATGTATGCACTTAGACAGGCTTTGCCTTAAACCCATCCTGGGCTTTGCCTGCCTTCCTTGGTTTCCCAGCAATTAATTTTTCTGGCCCCTTTCGGTAGTCGTCTAATCCGTTTTATTCTCGACTGTTTACGAATTTGGTCATTTCATAATTCCCTGTTTATAACTCAGGAGACCCATTTCCCGTTTTGCTTTCCTTCGCATTTCAAGCCCAAATATTCATGAATGCCGACAAACCTTATAATCAATGTTTGATGTTTGATGAGACGTGATCATATCTGGGTCCAAAACCCCTGTCTAGATGAATAGGTTCGATGGGGGATTGGGAGGAAAAAAATACACCATTTAAGAGGATTCACTTGTGCAACTCATAGAATTATAAAGACCCAGTCCATTTTAAAATAAACCAAAGGCTCGCTCAACTTATACTACCTCCGGTCCTAATTATAAAACAGTTGACTAATTTGAGGAGATTAAGGAAATAAGTTAAGTTAGTTATTTGTAACAAATAAGTGTTGTCCTAAAATATCCTGCTAATAAATGTGTTGGTTAGAACTATAATTATTAGAAGGACTATCTGGGAAAAAATGCATAATTATGAGAGAAAATGGATTGGGGTCATAATAGGACTAAAAGTCAAACGGAGTCTTTATTAAGGACGGAGGTAGTAGATCATAAAGATTCGGTCCATCTCAACGCAGAAAGATAAGTTTGTGAACCAAGCTAGCATCTTAGAGGGAATAAACTATTAACAGGACAATTGTTTAAATTTTTTTTTTAAATTAGTATAATTAATGCATTGATTCTGGAAATAACATATTTTGTTTGTTTAACTTTCATTTTATTAATGTAGTACTGTTGAACCTCACTTAAACAGAACCAAAATCAATGAGCCAAGTTCACGCCTTGTTACCGACGCTGGATGCAACACATTATTTCCCCCCTTATTTCATCCTTCCGGAAAAACGGAAGAAGGAAAAGACTATCATGCTTCATGCAACAACTGATGCAAGTGCCGACAGAACACTGCGAACCAAATTACCAAAATTTTGTGAAAAAAAAAAAGGGAAATACAAAACGATGTCGTAAAAGAGCTTTATTGCCATCTCTCTTCCAGAAAAACGGCCATGGGTTCGTTTTTTTGGCTCCCATAGGGCGATCAGTCAGCGAACTTTACCCGCCAAGTTCCGAGAGCTCGCCTGTACCAATCGCGATCCTAAAACTCCTTACCCGAGATACGCCCCTCTTTTTATATCCTGTATCAGGATTAGACGTCACGCCCCTTCGACCTCCTCTAGGGCCAAGGATCCTTCTTGAATAAAATATTTCTTCAACTTCATCTATAAATTATTTAATCCATTGCCAAGCGTCAATGTCTTCAGGTTCCAGTGTTTTACTTGTTCACTCTTCTGCTCCTTTGCAATTTGATTCTGTTCATCCATCTCATTTTCCGTGATTTCTGTTTTTTGTTTTTACGGGCAACAGTTCGTAGATTCACAATGGCAGCCATCTCCAATTCCTTGTACCTGAAGCGCGGCCTCTCACTTTGGTGTCCTCAAACTGGGTCTCTCAATCGACCTAAACCTTCTTCAATCACTTTCAGATCCTTCTCGAGATGCTACGCGGCTTTCGCTAATGAAAATCGGGAGTATGTTCCTCACTTTGGCTGTTTCTCCTTCCGTTTCTGTTCGACATTCGATGTCTTGATCTTTTCTTTTCTTTCATCCCCTTTTAATCATCTTCCAATTATTGCAGGTATGTGATTGTTGGGGGTGGAAATGCCGCAGGATATGCTGCTCGAACTTTCGTCGAGCACGGCATGGCGGATGGACGTCTGTGTATAGTGACTAAAGAGGTTGCCTGACCTGGCTGCTCAGCCATGTTGCATTTTTCTATCTTCACTGTCTCCTTTGTGCTCATTTCTTTAGCTATATGTTCCATATCTTCTGTTGATCTCTTTCTGTGTTTGAATTCACTAAACAGGCATATGCGCCTTACGAGCGTCCGGCTTTAACAAAAGGCTACCTATTCCCGCCAGATAAGAACCCCGCGCGCCTTCCTGTACGAATTTACTCTTTTAGGCACATATAGTGAACTGATGATTTGTATCTTTACCTGAAATTTTCGTCCGTCATTGCAAGGCTTGAAAGTATATCATTGATTGAACCATGCTCTTAACTATTGTACTTCAGATGTTGCTATTATGCATAAAGCGGCTGCCTATCATGCTTTCTTGCAGCTTGTTAGTGGAAATTACAATGTGACGTCATTATCGTGCTTTTAAACTTTTAATAGGGATTTCACACTTGTGTTGGATCCGGGGGTGAGAGGCAGACTCCAGAGTGGTATGAGGAGAAAGGGATAGAGGTAATCTTTGTTTTGCTCTTGCTACCATTTTGTCTTTTGTGGATGATTTTGTCATTTTCCATGCCAGTAAAAGTTCATCTTCTATCATGCGTGGTACAATGGATATAGGTGATTCCTTTTAAATTGAATGGCAAAATCTCATATTCTGATTATTTAGGCTAGCATCACACTAGAAAAGTTTTTATATTAGGGAAGAACCAAGGCCTGGTATTTTCCAGTTTTCATTCATTTACTTTTTTTTAAAATCGTTTATTTCTTGCTGTTGTTCTGTGTAGATGTTATATCAAGATCCAGTAAAAAGCATTGATACTGAACAGCAAACATTGACAACGAATTCTGGAAAACTGCTTAAGTATGGTTCACTTATTATTGCCACAGGATCTACAGCCTCAAGGTGTCTGTCTCTTTTCTCTTGGTCTTCAAGTTGTATATGCAATAACTGGTGCAAAAAATCATCTATCCTGTCTATCTTGCTTTTAGATTCCCAGAGAAAATTGGGGGAAATCTACCTGGTGTTCATTACATCCGTGATGTTGCTGATGCTGATTCACTAGTTTCATCATTGGTAATCTTAATCATGCTAATATTGTGACTTAATGTTTTTTTAATTTGAGCGGATAATTTGATCTTGTAGCTCATGCTTTTAGATACCCTTCGAATTTTCATTTCATTTTTTTTTTCTGTCAGTCCTTAGAATTTTTCCAAGGATATCACTGTCCCAATGCCTAGAATAAGCATAACTTCAGTGTGACTTGAGAGAAGTTGCATGTGTTTCGTGCAAATGATACATCAAAATCATTATATTGTTTAATATGTAATGTAGATCAAATAAATTGATCTTAACGCATTTTATTAGGGGAAAGCACGCAAGGTAGTTATTGTTGGAGGTGGTTATATAGGAATGGAGGTTGCTGCTGCTGCTGTTGGCTGGCAGCTTGACACAACAGTACGTATTCTGCCTCTATCAAATCGTTATTGCCGGGTTTTTCTGGTTGGCAATTTCTATATCAAGCCTTCATTGTTTCATTTCATCATTTTCAGCTGTGCCATATTCAATGTTGGTTTATCCTCCACATGTTCCTGCTTTTAATTATGTTAAAGATGGCTGGTCATTTTGTATATTAGTTTTCATCTGCTAATTCATGAATATTTATATGTCCTTTAAACTAGATTATATTTCCAGAGGATCATTTTTTGCAAAGACTGTTCACTCCTTCTCTTGCTCGAAGATATGAAGAACTCTACCAGAAGAATGGCGTCAAAATCTTAAAGGCAATCCCTCTTTCCCTGATTCTCTCGTTCTATTAATCTTCCCATTGTTGTAACTTCTAATGGGTATCTTTGATGTTTGTGCAGACAATAACTTCTTCAAACTCTTCCTCTAATTTTTCTTTGTTTTGAATTTTATATCAACCAGGGTGCTTCTATAAAAAACTTGGAAGCCGATTCTAATGGGCACGTAACTGCTGTGAAACTTGGAGATGGATCTACTATAGATGCAGATACAGTAATAATATATATATTTTCATATCTGACTGGACTTAATTCTTGTCAAATGCACTAATACTAACTTGCTGCACTATATAATAGAGGTGCTATCATCATAGAAGGAGGACAAATTCAATAAACAAATTTGCTTTCCATTTGCAGGTTGTTGTGGGCATTGGAGCAAAACCTGCAGTTAGCCCCTTCGAGAGGGTAGGTCTGAATAAAGATGTTGGTGGCATACAGGTGAGTCTAACGAATGATAAACTATTGGCAACAAAATTCTTGATCATGGTTATTCTTTCAAAAAATAAAAAGATCTATTATAGATTTTGTTGTGATGCTTATTTCCTTTTTTTTTTTTTAAAGCTTCTGTGAGGCAATGTTTTGAAATTAGTCGCTTTATTACTTTCTGAAGATCATGTACACTTTCTTTAAGTCACCCCGATTTGCAGATGTAATTTCAGTGTGTATAAGCGTAAAACCCAAATTAGACTCTGAAGGACTTCATCTAAAGGAATCACCTATTTCAGGTGGATGGTCAGT